AAATAATATGTTTTGATGGCTAAGGTCCCTCAAATTTTAGGCCTATTTTCTTTTTTTTTTTGAAAATCCATGCACAGTGTTGCTTTTGGGCTAAAAAATCAAATGAGGCTATAATAGCCTAATTCTCGGAATCCCAAACAGCGCCATTGTTGACTTAACTGATAGATTTTGGAAACCAAATTTGCAGTGGAGATTTCGTTGGAGATTTCAATGGAGTTGATGAGAAAGATTGCTACGATCGTGTAGATTTCGTCGGAGATTTCGTCGGAGATTTCAGTGGTATTACAGTGTGTTGATCGCGTAGATTTTCAGTGGAGTTGAATCAAATTTGTTTTCGATGGAGATACCACATGCATTTGAATTTTTGTTTAGAGAGAGACCAGCTTGATAGAGTTAATTTTTATTTTTGGAATTAATTTTTTATTATTTGTTTTTTAATCAATTTCAAAGAGTGTTGACAGTGTGTTGATCGCGTAGGTTTTTGAGTGGAGTTGAATCAGGTTTGTTTTCGATTTAGATTCCACATGGATTTTGAGAAAGTAAATGTAAGTTCATAAATTTCTCTGGACTTGTATTTGTAGTTCAGAGAAAATTGTAAATTTGTTACTCACTTTCAGTTTGTAGTTCAGAGGAAATTATATGTTTGTAGAAGATGAATAGAAGTTTTTGTTTCTCTAAGCAAAAGTTATTTTTTGTGTTTTTTCTTTCAGTTTAGATGGACAATGCAGTGTTTTTTGTTATCTTGAAGGTGTATATAAGTTTGTAAATTTCTCTGAATTTTTCTATGAGTACAATATTACAGAATGACGCATAGAAAATTGTTAGCTTGTAGTGAGGTGAAAATCATGGAGAAGCCTATAATTTTATAACGGATATTCTGTGTGATTTTTTTCTATTATTGTGTTTAATAGTTAGCAGTAAATTTCTCTGTGATTCATTAAGTTTCTGTGATTTTGCTTTTTATCATCTTGAAGGTGAATATCAGTTTGTAGATGTCTTTGGATTTTTATTTTAAGTTCAGAGAAAATTATAATTTTTAGAAATTTCTCTGGACTTTTATGTTGTTCTTGTGAAGTGTTTCTATGTTAAACAAATTATTTTTGTTGTTTTTTGTTTCAGTTTCAATGGATAGTGCAGTGTTGTTACTGTGCAAATATGGGAATGATATTATTGTCATTAATGTTTCATGCGAATTGAATTTTGAGGAATTGGTTGGCATTTTGTGTAAAACACGGGAGAATTTGAAACCTGAGACTATGTGTATTTCATATTCTATTTTGGGCCATCCGAATTGTATGGTTCGAAATAATATTGATTTTCTGAATATGTTGAGGGTTGTTTGTGCACACGGTGTTGATATAGTTGATGTTTCAGTTACTAGATGTAGTACTTCTGATGAAGAGGATGAAGTGGGGTCTAATTGGGTAGATGTTGTGGATGGTGAGTGTGATAGGCTGGTGGATATTGAAAGGAATTCACTCTCTAAGTTTTGTTCTCACCAAGAAAAGGTGTTATTGTCGGCTAGTTGGCAGAATAATATTACGAGTGTTGGACAAAAGTTTGAGGGTGGTATGGTTGAGTTCCATACTTTTTTATGCAAGTATGCTATTGAGGTTGGTTTTCAGTTTACGTATGTTAAAAATGACAAGCTGAGGGTTACGGCAGAATGTGCATATAAGGAGTCAAGGGGATGTATGTGGCGTGTACATGCTTCTGTTGAAAAAACAAATGGGTTCTTCTACATAAGGACTTTGAACAATGAACATACGTGTGGTGTGGCGGTTCGTACGAGTAAACATTCGAGTATGACTTCCAGCTTAGTTTCTGGGCTGATACTTGAAGAGGTAAGTGCAAAACCTTTAACTCGTCCAGTGGATGTTGTGAAAGAAATGAAAGACAAGTATGGGGTCTCAATCAGTTATAACTGTGGTTGGTTGGGTGTTGAAAAAGCAAAATGTAGTACATATGGGGATTCTTGTTTGTCATTTGATCAATTACGGTGGTATTTTGATGAGGCATTGAAGAATAATCCGGGTAGTCGTTTTGAGTTAGATTTTGAAGATAACAAGCGTTTCAAAAGAGTGTTTGTGGCTTTTCATGCATGCATTGCTGGTTTCAAATATTGTCAGTCATTGCTTTTTCTTGATGGAACATTTTTGAAAGGACAATACAAAGGAGTTATGCTTGTTGCAACGAGGAAAGATGGGAATGAAGGTAATTGTAAATATATCTAATTTTATCTAAGTATGTGAATTTTCTATACATGTAGGAATTGAGTAAATGTGAATTTTCTCTAGTTTTGGCCACTGTGAGAATTTTCACTGGATTTTGGTCAGTGTATGAATTTTCTCTGTATGTTGTCATTGTGTGAATTGTATCTGTAGGTGGTCAATAAGTGAATTTTCTCTGGATATTATGATTGTGTGAATTTTCTCTGTAGTTGATCACTAAGTCAATTTTCTCTGGATGTTGCCAATTTGTGAATTTTCTCTGGAGTTGGGCATTAAGTGAATTTTCTCTGGATGTTGGTAGTGTCAAACTTCTCTGGTTGTTTATTGTTCTATTTTTCTCTGCATGTGTATATGTAATATGCTTGTTCCTATTTGTTTTGTAGGTTTTTTTCCTATAGCTTTTGCTGTTGTTGATGCTGAGAATAAAGACAATTGGTGTTGGTTTCTTGAACATTTATGTGGAGTATTGGGGTCAAAAAGGGTGATAAGTTTCATATCAGATCGACATTGTGGTATTGTGGAGGGAATTGCTACGTTTTTCCCTAATTGCTTTCATAGATTTTGTCTGGAACATCTGAAGAGAAATTTGAGGGATAAGTTGTCATGTGGAAACACAAATTTGGTTAGGGAGACGATTGTGTCCAAGTTTTCAGAATGTGCATATGCTCCAACAAAGGCATCATTTCATTTCAAGTTAAATGAATTAAAAAGCGAGGGAGGAGACATTATGAGTGTTTTCTTGAGAAGTTTACCATATGAAAATTGGAGTGATGCATATTTTGCGGGGAAACGTTGTGGTGAGATGTATTCAAATGTTGCTGAGTCATTCAATTCATGGATACGAGAAGCTCGGCACTTGCCAATAACAAATTTGGTGGACATGATACGGTTGCAAATCATGAATATGAGGTCTGATAGGAGGCTGCTCTCTAGTAAATGGAATAAAATTTTGTGTCCTCGTATGGATAGTGTGTTGGAGAAGTCTTTTTTGGACGGAAGGACATGGAATGTGAGTTTATTATCTGATAATGTCTTTGAAGTGCATTGTTTTCCTTCGGCTATGGTTGATCTTGGGTTGAGAACTTGTTCATGTCGAAAATGGGAAATAAATGGGTATCCATGTCAACATGCTGTTGCTGCAATTTTTAGGAGTGGAAAGAATTTGAATTCATTTGTTGAACCATTTTTTCATGCTAATATGTATCGTCAAGCATACTCGTTTTTGATTGGCCCAATTCCAACTGTTGAAAAACCTGTGTGTAGCATTGAATATGCTATGATTTTACCTCCATTGAGCAAGAGACTTGCTGGGAGGCCGAAGAAGAACAGAATTGCTTTTACTGGAGAGTTTAAAAAGGTGATTAAGTGTAGTCGTTGTGAGAGTATTGGTCACCATAATAGGAGGACATGCAAGGAACCTTTGTTAAATAGTTGAGGATTATACATTTTATTGATTGAATAATACATTTGATGATTACTTGTGTATTTTATTTTGTGAAATGTATTTTTTAGACAGTGTATATAATAATATCAATCAAATTCATCCAGAGAAATTTTCCAATATCAGTTCAAGTGTGTTTGTTGATATATACTATAGGAAGTGGGTTTGTAATACCTATCAAATTCATCCAGAGAAATTTTCCTATGGCAGAGAAAATTCTATGTGTTGTGTTTTGAAGCTTCATATTCATCCACATAAATTTGACAATGGCAGACTAAAGTACTGTGTGGATTGTGTTTTTTGAATTTGATAATTGTTTTGTACTAACACAGTGCATTAGAGATTGAATGATCATATAGGCACCTTCTTTGGTGAGATATGAGTTAAATTTATCTGTAAATTTCTGGTAGCTTCATATCAGTCATTTCAAGAAATGTGCACACCAGACAGAGCATACAAAAAATTATTGTACAACCAAGAAACAAAATTAAGCTCTTTTGGAATTTCTCTGAGTTGAGAATTTCTCTGGACCAAGGAAGAATTTCTCTAGACTAACTTCAGGTCAGAAATTTGTGTCAAAGCCTGAGAAATTTTCCTCACCAACTCGGAGAAATTCCTCCTCTCCAAATCACTCAACCCAGAGAAATTCATAACTCAGAAATTCCATTTTCTGTCAAATTCATCCAGAGAAATTTTCCACCATCAGAGAAAACTATCTGGGCATTGCGTTCTAAAATTTGAAATTCATGCAATGAAATTTTCCAGTGGCAGATAAAATTACTGTGTGCTTTGTGTTTTGTTGAGTTTGATGATTGTTTTGTACCAACACAAAATATTACAGATTACATGATCATATAGGCATCCCCTTGGGACGATACAAGTTAAATTTCTCTGTGAATTTCTGGTAGTTCATACCAGAGAAATTTCTACAGACAATTTTCTCTGGCAGACAATTTTCTCTGTGAATGAGAATAAAATATATATATATATATATTTAACCATCGATAGGTATGAAATTTACATTAGTCGAAATAAAAAAAAATGAAATTTAGATTAGTCAAGAAAGGATATATACATATATGTCAAGGATCATCATTCCTTCAATGTATCAACAAGAAAGGATATATACATATATGTGAGACGATTTTCTCTGTGTGGATATGTACATTGTCTTCCTTTTACTAGTTTCACTATTACATTTGTGGTTCTTCTGAAGGTATTTCAATTGGTTCAGTCCATGACCGGCCAACTTCGGTCACAAATCTCTCTATGAGTTCTGCCCTCATCAACCTTATCTCTTGTGTGGACAATTTGGAGCTGATAGGTTCATGCTTGCTATAATGTTTCATTATATAGCAGACAAAGAGGCCACAATCCAGACTGCATACAAATTATAGGTATGGTTAGTTTTAAGAAACATGCAACTGAAATTATCTTATTTATAGATGTATGAAACTTACGAATCGCTTTCTTGTTGTGGAGCATTGTTGACATACTCAAAGTCGTAACTTGTGTTTTGTGAGTTTATTAATTTGAAAGAGGATTGTGATTGAGCGTCTCTTTCAAGGCAAGCATTCAAAAAATTCTCCACGTAATCTTGCTGCAAAAAAATAATTTTTAAATAATAGAGAAATTTACGAACAAGTCAATGGGATTCTATGAAAATTACCATCACATAAAGATGATGATGGATCAGAGAAATTTGCACTCGTTACCAATTGTTTTGCATCTTTGACATATTTGTCTTTTGCATCATTCCTCCTTGGCCTCAGTGAGTTGTAGAACCTCCATAAATTGTCTTGTTTGTCCAGGACAAGCAAGGTCCAGTGATTTCCATGTGTGGACTTCTCATTACCTCCAGTATTTATTGGGAAATGGAAGAACTTGTAGTTCCTCCATGCTGTTTCAATATGCTTGCCAAATAAGGACACTCGAAAAGTTTGATTTTCTGTCATCTTGATGAAATTCTGTGCTCAGAGAAAATCAAAAAATGGTTTTGTTAGTGACACAACTGACTTCAAGAAGTATATTAAGAAGAGAAAGTAGAAAGTAAATTCCAGAGAAAATCAAATAAAATAGTAGTAACATACTAAGCACATGGATGTGAAAAAAAATGAGGTTGGTTGTTGTTTCTCTCTCATTTGGTCAGCCAAAAGGATCTCTCCATAGCCATCAATGACCTGAAAAATATGATTTATAATTGTAATATTGTTTTATAAAGGCTGATGGAACATTGCAGAGAAATGTTGATGAAAGGGAAAGACTTACATTGTTGGCAATTTCTTTTTGCTTTATGAGGTTTCCAATGTCTTCAAAGGTAATGAGATTAAACTCACTTGTCCAAATTAAAACCCTACAAGATGACAAAGAAGGGATTGAAATGTTGTTAATGCAACATAAGGACAGTGTATATAATAATATCAATCAAATTCATCCAGAGAAATTTTCCTATGGCAGAGAAAATTCTGTGTGTTGTGAAGGTCCTGGACGTTCCATTAAAGATTGACATCAACACCGCCATGGCATCCAGAGGGAAATATGCACGAGTGTGCATTGAAATGGACCTGCGAAAGCCCCTTGTGTCTCAATTTGCTATTAGTAAGAATATATATTTAGTGGAATATGAACATCTTCATTCTGTGTGTTTTTCCTGTGGTAGGGTAAGACATGTGAAGAAATAGCTCACCGAAGGGGGAAACTAGATCGAAGAAACAACAGGGGCTAATGGGCTGGGTTGTAGCAGAGTAAAGGATGTAGGTAAGACAAGCCAAGTAGCTCGATTTGCACAGTTGTATGTGAATGAAATTATTAGACTGCATGGTGCACCTGTGTCAATAGTGTCAGATCGGGACCCTCGTTTTGTGTCTAAGTTTTCAAGTGCATTACAGTCAGCTATGGGTACTCGGTTAAATTTTAGTTCAGCTTATCATCCTTAGATAGACGGGCAATTGGAAAGGACTATTGGAATAGATTCAAAAGCTGTTGCGGGTTTGTGCTTTGGAGTAGAGAGGTAATCAGGATGATTATTTACCGCTCATGGAGTTTGCGTATAATAATAGTTATCATTCTAGTTTGGGAGTAGCCTCTTATGAGGATTTGTATAGAAGGAAATGTAGGTCTCCTTTGTGTTGGTATGAGGTTGGTAAGAGGCAAATGTTGGGACCTGATTTGGTGGAGGATGCTACACATAAAATTATCACCATCAGAGAGAGATTATTGACTACTCAAAGTAGACAAAAAAGGTATGCTGATCATCGTAGGAGAGATTTAGAGTTTCATGTGGGGGATATGGTATTCTTGAAAGTATCACCATGGAAAGAAGTCATCAAGTTTGGTCGTCGGCTAGCAAAAAAGGCCGGTCGGCTACTTTAACCTGCCGGTCGGCACAATAAATTTCCGGCCGGCACAAACAGAGTGCCGATGGGTGGCCGGTGAGGTCAAAAAAGTGCCGGTGGATGTCCAGATTGAAGCCCTGGAAGTTAGCTTTCCAATGGCGCAAACCTTGCATTAAAATTCGTTCTGTGCAAAAAGTTATGCCCTTTTCCGTGAAGCCGCGAAGATTCGATCCAACCGGGATGATGCCCGACTTCAACTGGTCATATCTCCCCCACCCGGACTCGGCTCTAGGAGATTCTTGAGTGCAAAGTGAAGCCCCAGAAGTAAGCTTTCCGACAGTGGTGGCTCCATAGCTAAACTCCAGGTGTACAGATAGATAAGCCTGATTCAGCGAGGGCTGCTTGACTCGCTTCTACCCGGATTCCTGCCGAACTTCTCCCAAATTAGTTTTCTCCTCTCCTTTCCTCTCTTCTTCAACTCCAAACCCCTAAACAAAGTGTTTTGAAGGATTTGCATTCTGTGTATTATGTTTTGAAGCTTCATATTCATCCACATAAATTTGACAATGGCAGAGAAAAGTACTATGTGGATTGTGTTTTTTGAATTTGATAATTGTTTTGTACTAACACAGTGCATTAGAGATTGAATGATCATATAGGCATCTTCTTTGGCGAGATATGAGTTAAATTTCTCTGTGAATTTCTGGTAGCTTCATATCAGTCATTTGAAGAAATGTGCACACCAGACAGAGCATACAAAAAAGTATTATACAACCAAGAAACAAAATTAAGCACTTTTGAAATTTCTCTAAGTTGAGAATTTCTCTGGACTAGGAAAGGATTTCTCTGGACTCACTTCAACTCAGAAATTTGTGTCAAAGCCAGAGAAATTTTCCTCACCAACTCGGAGAAATTCCTCCTCTCCAAATCACTCAACCCAGAGAAATTCATAACTCAGAAATTTCATTTTCTGTCACCATTTAAATCCGTCAATTTCATCCAGAGAAATTTTCCACCATCAGAGAAAACTATCTGGGCATTGTGTTTTGAAATTTGAAATTCATGCAGTGAAATTTTCCAATGGCAAATAAAATTATTGTGCGCTTTGTGTTTTGTTGAGTTTGATGATTGTTTTGTACTAACACAAAGTATTATAGATTACATGATCATACAGGCATCCCCTTGGGACGATACAAGTTAAATTTCTCTGTGAATTTCTGGTAGTTCATACCAGAGAAATTTCTGCAGACAATTTTCTCTGGCAGACAATTTTCTCTGTGAATCACAATAAAAAAATATATATATATTTTTAACCATCGATAGGTATGAAATTTACATAAGTCGAAATAAAAAAAAAATGAAATTTAGATTAGTCAAGAAAGGATATATACATATATGTCAAGGATCATCATTCCTTCAATGTATCAACAAAAAACTGAATGGTTAATACTGTATGGATATATACATATATGTGAGACAATTTTCTCTGTGTGGATATGTACATTGTCTTCCTTTCACTAGTTTCACTATTACATTTGTGGTTCTTCTGGAGGTATTTCAATTTGTTCAGTCCATGACCGGCCAACTTCGGTCACAAATCTCTCTATGAGTTCTGCCTTCATCAACCTTATCTCTTGTGTGGACAATTTGGAACTAATAGGTTCATGCTTGCTATATTGTTTCATTGTATAGCAGACAAAGAGGCCACAATCCAGATTGCATACAAATTATAGGTATGGTTAGTTTTAAGAAACATGCAAATCAAATTATCTTATTTATAGATGTATGAAACCTACGAATCACTTTCTTGTTGTGGAGCATTGTTGACATACTCAAAGTCGTAACTTGTGTTTTGTGAGTTTATTAATTTGAAAGAGGGTTGTGATTGAGCGTCTCTTTCAAGGCAAGCTTTTAAAAAATTCTCTACGTAATCTTGCAGCAAAAAAATAATTTTTAAATAACAGAGAAATTTACAGACGAATCAAGGGGATTCTATGAAAATTATCATCACATAAAGATGATGATGGATCAGAGAAATTTGCACTTGTTATCAATTGTTTTGCATCTTTGACATATTTGTCTTCTGCATCATCCCTCCTTGGCCTCAGTGAGTTGTAGAACCTCCATAAATTGTCTTGTTTGTCCAGGACAAGCAAGGTCCAGTGATTTCCATGTGTGGGCTTCTCATTACCTCCAGTATTTATTGGGAAATGGAGGAACCTGTAGTTCCTCCATACTGTTTCAATATGCTTGTCAAATAAGGACACTTGAAAAGCTTGATTTCCTGTCATCTTGATGAAATTCTATGTTCAGAGAAAATCAAAAAATGGTTTTGTTATGACTAGTGACATAATTGGCTTCAAGAAGTATCTTAAGAAGAGAAAGTAGTAAGTAAATTCCAGAGAAAATCAAATAAAATAGTAGTAACATACTAAGCACCATGATGTGAAAAAAAATGAGGTTGGTTGTTGTCTTTCTCTCATTTGGTCATCCAAAAGGATCTCTCCATGGCCATCAATGACCTGAAAAATATGATTTATAATTGTAATATTGGTTTATAAAGGCTGATGGAACATTGCAGAGAAATTTTGATGAAAGGAAAAGACTTACATTGTTGGCAATTTCTTTTTACTTTATTAGGTTTCTAATGTCTTTAAAGGTAATGAGATTCAATTCACTTGTCCAAATTAAAGCGCTACAAGATGACAAAGAATGGATTGAATTGTTGTTAATGCAATATAAGTTTGTAATTTATTATTTGTTATGTTCTCTTTTGTTTGTTGTACTTACTCAAGCCCAGACACATTTGATATGTGCTGCAAGATGTATTTTACATGATCTTTTATCAATCTTGAAATCGAAAGATTTTGTGGAAAGACCCAAGATTTTCTGATGTTTATAGGTTGAGGCAAGACATACGCATCAGCATCAAGCACTTCTTTGTCCTTCGTGCTTTGCTCAACTTGCTTTGCAGCTTGTTTTGAAGCTCTAGTCACTTTCGCAACTTTGGGATATTGGAATTCTGGATCATGCTGCTTTTCCTTCCTTTCTTTTGCCTTTAAATTTTTTATCATTGACGTCGGATCTTTTTTGACTGTAGACAGTGAAAATATTAAGAAAAGTGAAATTTCTCTGAAGTAACAGATGATGTTTCAATATGCAAATTTATTTGATTCAATATTTTGCAATTACCATAGAATTTTGTCTTTTGTTTCGGTTGTTCTTTGTGTGCCATTTGTTCTTGTTGGGTTGTTGGTTGTTGTTCCACTTGCATTCCAACTATACACAGTGAAAATCAAACAAGCCCCAAAAATAGAATAAGGAAATATACAGAGAAAATGAAATGAGTAGTAGAAATATAACTAATGTGTTCAGAGAAATATAACTTCCAGAGAATACAGAGAAATGAAATGAGCAGTAGAAATATAACT